TTTTTACTTTTTAAGCTTATCTATGAAAAACTAAGACGCAAACACACACATTAGCCTAGGCCTACACAGGGTCAGGATCATCAATATCACTGTCTTCCACCTCCACATCCCATCCCACTGGAAGGTCTTCAGGGGCAGGCGGGAGATCACATGAGTTCGAGACCAGCCTGAGCAAGAACGAGATCCCATCTCTACAAAAAATAGAAAAATTAACCAGGCGTGGTGGCGCACACCTATAGTCCCAGCCACTCAGGAGGCTGAGCCAGGAGAATCTGGTGGAGTTAGGCCTAGCACCCTGGCACCGGGACTCCCTTCTCAGGGCTCTTTCTGACGTACAGTCCCTGCCCTGCCCCATGCAGAGCTGAGTCGTTCCACTCTCAGGAGGGCCTCTCTGAGGAGGTGATATTTGAGCTGAGACCTACCCACTGAGAAGGAAGCAGCTATGGGAGTGTCTGGGGGAAAGCATCTCAGCCAGAGGGAACAAGTAGAAAGGCCCCATGGAAGGAGGAGTGAGTTTGTCTACTAGGAGCAGAGAAAGCCAGGGAGTACAGCCAGGCTGAGAGCTGGAGGGGTGGGGAGAAGGCCACCTGAGTGAATCGTGAGGGCTTCCTAGGCCATGGAAGGCCATTTGGATTTTATTCTAAGGCAGTGGGAAGACAGTGAAGGGTTTTTCTTTAATAAATTGGACAGAAGCAGGACATGTATTCTTTAGAAAATTAGAAAATATAGACAGAAATGAGAAAATAAAGCATTAATCTCCAGAGATTTATGTATAGTCTACAGATTTCTTTCTATGCGTGTATTTAACATACACTTCTTAAAAATAAAATCATATTGGATATATTTTTTGTTACTGCTTTTCATCCAGTCATCTCTACCTTTCCAGTTCAGTACATTTGTATCTCATCTAATGAACAGATCGCTTTCAACTTTCCCTAGTTATCCCCAAAATATTCTTTACAGTTTTTTGTCTCACCCTTGTATCCAATTCAGGACCAGGCGTTATATCTGGCTGGTATGTTGCTTAAATGTCTTCTAATCTAGCACAGCCCACCCCCTTTTTAATAACAGTGGCTTGGTCAAGAAACCAGGCTGATCATGTCATATAATGTCTCACTCTCCAGATTTGTTTGGTTGCTTCCTCGTGATGTCACTTAGCTGTGTCTCTAGCCCCTGTATGTCCTAGAAACGAATTTATATCTAAAGACTTAACGGATTCAAGTTAAACGTTTTTGGCTAGAAGACATCACGGTGGTGTGTCCTTTGTGTTGCATCATACACAGTAACTGAGACCCACTCTAGGCGATAACAAGATTGGCCTCTGGAACGGGAATGCCCTCCATGCCCTTCCTCAGTTGGTGTTTTCCCCCTGTGATCTGACAGTAACCTGTACAAGTGATGAGTTCCCCATCAACCAGACACCTGATAGTTTTAACAGTAATTAATAATCGTTGCCTAAATCAATTTCATTAGAATTTACTGAAAAATGCTCTGTCCCACCTTGCATCGTTTCATCCTTTCTATTCTTCTGTGAAGCGGAACTTTCCCCCAGTCAAGTAGGGCTATCTGGTTATTATGAAATACAATTCCTACTGAAAAGCAGAATAAATGCTAATTCTTTACTTAACCACTTTTCAAGATAAGGTGTCATCTCAAATGGTGACAATGGCTTTTTCCTTTGACTATCATACAGTCACAATTTTCATTGACTCACTATAATCTAGTTCTCTACAATTATTATATTTAATACTCAAATTATCATAACTCTCACCAGCGGGAGCCCTTTCAGCACAACTCCTGTGCTCTTGACGTAACTCTTGAATGTTTCCTTGCTTTTTGGCGCAACAAGAAATTGCAGGCTCATCTTGTTCATTTCCCTCCCCAGTCTTGCTCACCTTTGGTAAACAACGGAGTTAGAGACCGTGGTCTGGCACTGCAAGTCTTTTTCTTTTTTTTTTTTTTTTGAGACAGAGTCTCACTCTGGCTAGAGTGAGTGCCGTGGCGTCATCGTAGCTCACAGCAACCTCA